AAATGTATATTCCTTTTCAATTCGATCTTCACATTGGACTCTACACAAATATACGTAGGTTTACCATTGAATGAAATTACCAATCACATGGTGATAATTTAGAAATAATGATGTAAATAATCAATGAAGTTACTAAAATTTGGAATATGAAGCAGGTTAGTTATTCCTAGGTAAATGGAGTGGGTTTTGATGAGTGTTCAGTCATTCACAATAAGCCATTACGTAATAATGAGAAGGTGAATGAAAATTGATAGAAACAAGGGGAAGGGGATGTACAAAGTAGACCTAGAATTACATGTTGACGGCCACGGTAATGAAAGTGATCGAACAAACTTCTTCTGAATGCAAAGGTTAGATCTGTTTGTAATGATGGATTGCAATCAGCTCCGCTATTTGAGGTAGGGGAGTGCGTAATCCATATGGTAAATGAATTGGAATATGATGAATAATTTTGAAAGCTTTACTAGTATCCAGTTGATCTCCCGAGTCAACTAGATGTGCAGGTATGGAGTTGTGCATTGTACTAATTTGTTCCTTGTTCAACCATGATGGGTGGTGCTCAGAAATTCAACGATGGAACTGCCTGGTTGTACGCTTAATGTAAGTACCTCCTTAGGAGTAGTCGAATTGATAGATGCACATACACCTAGAATCGCGCGATTGTAGATGATGGGACATAATTTAGTGACTGAGAAGGCTTTATGCAAGACTCTTTTTATGCGCTGTGTGATAATCTCACTGGCAGTGTCATTCTTGAATTTTAGCCTCAAGAAGATTTGCTTCTCAGGAACTCTTGACATTGTTGTTTTAACCTTCGTAATATTCATATGCTTAGTTACAAAGTTGTCTGGGTAGCCATTCCTACTAAGTAGATCACGGATGGTAGTGCGCTGTTCCTGTATAGCATCCTCTGAGCAAAATAACTATGGTACAGTATGCTACGCATTCCACCAGTTTCCTTTTGTATTGGAGGAGTACGGCACAAAAGAAGTGCGTGTATATTGACCTACTGATGTTGGCTTTTTACATACCCTCTGTTTCAGAGTTCCATCTAACCTTCCCATCAAAAGAACACCAAGTAATGGGATATTGTCATTCTTCTCCTCTTCCATTGTGAAGTTGACCACCGGCTGAACACTATTGAACGCATTGAGAACAGCGTTCTTATAAATGTCATTCCATTTACCTAAGAATAACTAACCTGCTTCATATTCCAAATTTTAGTAACTTCATTGATTATTTACATCATTATTTCTAAATTATCACCGTGTGATTGGTAATTTCATTCAATGGTAAACCTACGTATATTTGTGTAGAGTCCAATATGAAGATCGAATTGAAATGGAATATGCATTTCTTCACTCCCTCCCTAGCTCGCTCAATGAGTCTTTTCCTAATGTCCAAATGGGAATATTCAATATATTTCAGTTGTTTAGTCTGTAAAACTTTTAACAGGCTTGGCAAGAATTTTAAGTATTCGAATTGGTGTATACACAGTGCCAAAAATCACTGTAACCAAATTGTTACATTTTCTATTTGTCATTTTATTTTTTGGAGTTTGACTAACCTACAGTTGTTGTTTTGTCTTTTTCTGATGAAAGCTATACTTCACTTCTGTCTTCCTATTTTCGGCTTAGACATAACAAAAACGCTAACAGCATCCGATGGACTTTCAGTGTATTATTATTATTAGTCCCTTGGGTTCCTAGTGGAATATACAGCTTCTGTAGCACGTCTCCATTCCACCCAGTTCTCTGCAATCGTTTCAACCTGGCTCCATGACAGCCCACAAGCTCTCATTTCTTCCTCACACCATCTTCTCCATGTCACCCTCAGCTGGGACGCCAAACTCGTCACTTCCCATCTGGGTTCCACTCGACGGCCTGGCGTGACGCGTGATGTCCCTGAATGGTCTTCTCAGTGCATGACCAATCCATCTCCACTTCCTTCCACTGTATATTTGTTGAGCAATACGTTCTCGGTTGGTTGGTTGGTTGGTTCGTTGTCAGAGTCAGTTGCTTGTTGCTTATTCTTATTATTCTGGTCATCTGAGCTTCAGTATCGAGCCAGCATAGGCAGTTGTTGATGAATGTCCGTAGTTTGTTGGAAGTGCCTTTCGTGACGCTCCAAGCCTCTGAACCATATAGAAGCACTAACTTAACAATGGTGTTGAAAATCCAGATCTTGTTCGCACCTTATGCTGAGTGCAGAAGATCTCCCTCCACACTGGTTTCAGGTTAATGAACACCTGTCTTGTTTTTCCGATTCTGTCTTTGACGTCCTCGTCTGTGCCACTTGTAGTTGAAACGATTCTGCCTAGATAGGAGAAAGAGGCTACTTTCTTTAAGTTTCTCCCATTCACAGTAGTTGGAACTTGTTGTTGTTGGTTGGGTATCTTCATCGCCTACACTTTCAGTGTATAAAGACTTTATTCAACCATCTGTTGACTCTATCTTGTGTTTACCGTCTATTAGTTCAAGTTCATTGACTGATCGAATCTATTCTGAATCATTTTTCTCTTCTTCCTGCGCATATAATACCAGAGTTAGTACAACAATATGTTCTCATTTTCGTTTTGGTTCTATAAAAAAAGGTACGAAAATCATAACAGACTATTGTCGTTTAGTCCCAAAGCTTTCCAAATCACTCCATTTACCTAAGAATAACTAACCTGCATCATATTTCCAATCTTAATAACTCTACTGATTAGTTACATTATTATTACTAAAATATCACCATGTGTTTAATAATTTGATTCAATGGTAAACCTACGTTTATTAGTGTAGAGTCCAATATGAAGATCGAATTGAAAAGGAATATACATTTCTTCACTCCCTCCCTAGCTCGCTCAATCAGTCTTTCTCTAAATTTCTATTTCCTAGACGAAAGTATTTAACTGTGAACATTAGGTCTAACATTTCATGGAAAAGGCGATATTTTCTCTGTTAATAGCAACAAAAACATTGAAGAAAAAAACGTCTTCAGAACAATTAATGACCAGTCATCGTCTATGAATGACTACTGAAATATCTTCATACTTAATTCAATTGATTCATTCTATAACTTATAACCAACTTTTAGTCAACAATTTAGACACTCATATTTATCTAAAGTTGATATTTATCACAGAGTGATATCAGATGGGAAAAGGATTAGAAACTTGAGAATACTGGATAACCGTTTCTTCTTCTAGCATGTGAATCCCTAGCAGTTGAAACCTTTCACCTCTCCATAGATCAATAGCAAATCTCGTGGTGAGCATGTTGCCATTCAATCAGCTGATTAGAGGTTCACTTGTTCATATACCCCTTACTTTTGTCAATTTATGGATAAACGGCATAGAATTCAGACAATAACGTGAAGAGACTGAAAAAACGTGTATGAATTAACAATAGGACTTAAAAAGCATCATAATTCTTAACAATAAAAGCAATACCATGAAAGCAACAAACTAGTAAATGTTTCTTTCTAAATACACATTTGTTTTCACTTGGTTGATGGGTACCGCTTCTGTAAAGTGTAACAAATTCATGTCCAAACGATTTTACAATGAAATAGTGGAGAATATTTGCAGCTTAGGTGGATGGTCTTGGTTGCATATTGTATTCTCTGAGCTGAGTTGTTTAATCGTGGAGAAGTTTTCATCGTCTTTCTAGACAAAATAACCGTCAGCACTACCTTCACTATGAAGTGAGCTGTTAATATCTCTCCTTAAGTGATTCAGTAGCTTGCCTGACGAACTGGTTTGTGATTGGTTGTTTTCTTTGATTGTTGTCATTGACTGACTGTATAGACTTTCCTGTTGGCTGTCCCTCTGCTTGACTTCTGACCTTTCTGTTGTTTATCGTCTTTCTTATTCGATGATAGATTGGGTCTATGTGTCATGTTCAAACCAATAACATGACAAAAGAATACAACTCCCGAAAATTTTCTCACCTCTCAGTTGTCAACTCTTTGAAATTTACTCAAAGATGCAGTTACAAAGCTTTCTATCTTCTCTACAAAGGTATATACTTTCGAATATACACTTGAATTACCATTTGTCTACCGTAGATTATCTCGCTGAGTAATTTCAAGAATTGAGAGAAGTAGAAAAATGTGAACCATAAGACTTCTGAGTTCGATTTTCGACAGGGTCATGGGTACTCACTTTTAACAAGTCTCATAATGTAACCAATTAAATATCCGTGGTGAATAAATACTACTTTAAAATCGATTAATCTCTGAAAATCTTCAAATCTGATTATTATAAACATTTATACTGGGTGATGATTCAAGGTGAGATGAGAATCTGGATCGTGGTCGGATTCGAACCAGTGACCACTGGGTTACCGGCCTGGTGCTCTACCAACTGAGCTATCTACATGATCCGACTACTGACCAGAATTTTATTTTACTTCAATCACTGTAGTGGGTTTTATCCAACCAATACCATGTGAATTTGTAACGCGTTACTTGATCGTATTCACCCTGGCTGCCCACCAGTCACGACTCCTCATTCCAATCCATATGTAACTGGATCAGAGAGGGAGAGCATCATATTGATTATGATTTGACTATGTGAGATAGGTGTAGTTTTGTCAGACTGGTATACGATACTGGGTGATGATTTAAGGTGAGATGAGAATCTGGATCGTGGTCGGATTCAAACCAGTGACCACTGTGTTTCCGGTCCAGTGCTCTACCAACTGAGCTATCTACGGGATCTGACTGCTGATCAGAATATTATTTCACTTCAATCACTATAGTGGGTTTTATCCAACCAATACCATGTGAGTTCGTAACGCCTTACTACCACTTGATCTTATTCACATAGACTGTCTTAAATAATCAAATCGCATTATAAACATGTTAGAATGAATAATTTGTGATTACAGGATTATTTGTTGTTTCGAAAAGAAAACAGTTTTTTTCAGTATTTAATTACATTTTAATGGAAACCAAAGTATACAGTAAATTCTCCATTGTTTCTTTTGATGGTAGAGCATATAGGTTTCTATTCAACAGTCCTCCTATTATATAAATGAAATATGTAAGATATTTAATTATAATACGCATAGGGAATTTTAATTTACTGATGATATTCATTATGAACTGATATCAGTTGGTGAATCACTGAACATCTGCTTCATCTTAGTATGGGGCTCCTTAGACTTACACACCCACGACCCGACTAGAGATAAAACTTGGGACTATCAGGTTTTAAGGTGAATGCGTTAACCAGTACTTCCAGATTTTCAATTGTTCCCCAGCTTATATCAACCAATGATGAATTATTATTATTTTTTCCCCTTGGGTTCTTAGTGGAACTCAGGGCTTCAGTGGCACGCCTCCATTCCACTCTCTTCTCTACAGTCTTGCAATACTGGCACCATGACTGCCCACAAGCTTTCATTTCTTCTCTACATGATCTTTTCCATGTCACTCTCGCCTCGGACGCCCAAATCGTCGTTTCCCATTCGGGTTACACTCGAGGACGTGGTCTGATGCGTGATGTCCCTAAACCGACTTTTCACTGTATGTCTAATCCAATCCATCTCCACTTCCTATCACTGCATATTTCTTGGGTGATGGGTTCTTGGTTGGTTAGCTGCAAGAGCGAGTTCCTTGTTGCTTATTCTTATTATTCTGGCCATCTGATCTTTAGTATCGAGCGTAGGCAGTTGTTGATGAATGTCTGTAGTTTGTTAGAAATCCCTTTCGTGACGTGCCAAGTTTCCGAACCATATAGCACCAATGACTTGATATTGGTGTTGAAAATCCGGATGTTGTTGGCACTCTATGCTGAGTGCAGTAGATCTCCACACCGATATCAGATTAATGAACACCTGTCTTGCTATGTTTCCGATCCTGGTTTTGACGTCGTCATCTGTGCCGTCGCGGGCTGTAGTTGAAACGATGCTGCTGAGGAAGGTAGGTAAAGGAGACAATTTTGTTTAGGTTTCTCTTGTTGACGGTGATTGGTGCTTGTTGTTGATGCTGTTGCTGGTTGGGTATCTTCATCACCTCCGTCTTCTCTAGATCCCCTTGAAGTCCCAACTTCGCTGCCTCTTCTGTCAAGTTGTTAGTTTTCGCCTGTAGTTCTCGAAGTTTGTGCGACATTAGACACAAATCATCGACGAAATCCGAAACTCGTGATGAATACTACCTCCTAATGAAAATCCCCATTCATCTCAGAAATACATCACAGTACAGTGCTTATTAATGACATATGCTGCTTCCAGATGGATATCACGAATGAGATGCTGTGACTTGTGGCGTCAACTAGTTGGAAGGGAAGTGGGCACCAACTGAAAATCTTATGTGATAGTCGCTCTATATCGTGAATTGACAGAAGTTGGAAACTGCGAATCACTCAAAACCAATTCAGTGGCTGAATGATTAACTTAATTGCTATGAAACCTGAAAGTCCTGAGTTCCATCTCTAGTCGGGTCACGGGTGCGTAGTACTGAGCAGTCCTACAGAAGAACAAAACAGCTGTCCATTGCTCTGAGGTCTTCAATGGTTCCCCAAATAATGTCAGTCCGTGATGAAAATAAAATATTTGACAAGTGCATATAAACATAATAAAAAATTTCACTGATTCAGTTTCTTCTTAGTGATGAGTTTTATTGGTTAAATATAAACTACGACCTTAAAGAGTTGTGTCTCTCTTTGGTTTACGCAGTTCACACTCCTTTTAGTGGGTCTCAGGTCCGAATACCACTTCACTCATCAAGGTTTAGGCAATAGATGTGGATTGCAGTCTATTAGAAGAGAATAGAAAAGCTAATCAATGGCTGTCGTCTTCTCCTTCTCAAGGCTTCAATATCAGTCTAGATTATTAATTTATCCAACCCTGGGTGGTTAGTCAACTTATTTGACTTATCCCACGTCAGTCAACGAAGGTTTAGTCAAATGTCGAAATGATAGAGCTTGAAAAGTGACTGGTCAGTTCAAGTACCTAGAGAAGGAACTGGAGCACATAAAAGAAGCGCTAATGGTTACTAATTTATCCTCTACAGTTTATTAAGCAATTCATGTGATCATATAAGATGATAACAGTAATAGGAATACAAGTAATGCCGCGACATTTTGGATAGAGAGGAATTCATAGCCTCCATTGTATTACCACATAACGAAGGTACATCAGAAACTTTACATAAGATTCTCAACAAAGCTTGAATTAGGGTGACATTTAAACCTACAAACTCATCTAGAGATAAGCTTTATCGTCTGGCTTAAGAATCCGATAGAACCAATTCAGCAAAATGATCTAATCTATCCAATTCCATGTAATAACTGTGAAGTCAAGTACATAGGTCAAACTAGCCGATCGGGCTTAATTAGAACAGTGGAACATACAAATTTAGCTCAATATAGATTGATAGACCAGAATAACATTAATAATCTACAAAACAACTCGGTTGTTCCACACCATGCATTGGCATATAACCATACAATAAGTTCGAATAAAACCACTCTCCAAAATAATTAAATGTAGAGAGAAATTCATCACTGCTCGAAATGTTATCCAATAAATAACAATAACACTGTATCGCTATGTACTATATCAAATAAATAGTCCAATGTGGATTATATATAAATATAATGAGTAATGATTGGTGGTGAGATGAAATTTTCAACCGTAGTGGGATTCGAGCTAGCGACCATTGGGTTTCCGACCTGGTGCCAAACCAACTGATGTATATTTATTTACAATGATGCTTACTACTCTAATCCTTCTAATTGATGTTGCCTTTTCAACTAATCTAGTAATTTTCTATAAGCATCTTTTCTGGAAACTTTGAAGCAACGTGATTAGTTGTGAAATACTTCAGGGATATCGTCCTTTTGTAAAGGATTTGGACAATCTAATTCCTCAGCATATGAGTTTCGAGTAAAATTGAGTTTGTTGTATAAATATTATGATTTTTAAAAGAAACTTTGGATTAGTATTGTCATCATTGACTGATGCCGATGTGTGGATGATACATTCACTATGTTGAAATCGGAGCATATCAATAATTTCATCACACATAGAAACTGAGTAGGCGCCATCCAATTCTCATTTACAAGGCGTTAGGGAATGAAGAAGGAGAATTACCTATATCGGACTGTAGGATAAAATGAAGGACCGACGGTTGTTTGGAAACAACCGTCTTCAGGAAACCGACAAATTTCAACAGGTATCTAGGCTTCAAGTCATCCTGTCCTATGTCAGTTAAGGCAGCCTTATTCAAATGTCTAAGTAATAGAGCTAGAAAACTGACCAGTCAATGCAGGGACTTAAACAAGGAGTTGAAACACGTAAAAGAAGCACTAATAGTTAATAATTGTCCTCTACAGTTCATTAAGAAATTCATATGAACACACAAGAAATGTAATAAAAACGAAAACATGAGTGGAGACGAGTTCACAGCCTCCGTTGTGTTACCCTTTAAGGAATTTACATCAAAAACTTTACGTAGGATCCTTAACAAAGCTGGAATTAGAGTGGCATTTATACTCACAAACTCAATCAGAGATAAACTTTGTCGGTTCTAGGATCCGATAGAACCAATTAAGCAGAATAATCTATTCTATGAAATTCCATGTAATGACTGTGAGATCAAGTGAATAGGTCAGACTAGATGACTGGGGTCACTTGGAATAGCGGAGCATAGGAATCTAGCTAAATATAGAATGACAAACCCCAACTACATGAGCAATCTAGAAGGACATTCAGCTATTGCAATGCATAGATTAACACACAATGGGGTGAGTGAGGTGGGACCATTGTACTCAAGTCAAATACAACTAGGTGGAGAAAGTTTTGTTCCTCGAATCAGCACCCACTAGATATGATAACCGAAATGAAGCAACACTCATGAGTACCAGAGATAGAGAAATTTTGTACTACTAATACAAACAAAGAATATGAGGTTGGTGACAGGACTTTATAAATTAGATGTCGAAAGTGTACTGTGATTATACATTCATATGATTATGAGGAATAAAGAATTGATGCTCAATACATCATCCATTGAATGATACTGTATCACTGTATAGCGTATATCAAATAAATAAATCTAATATGGTATTGCATTCTACCACAGTGCCCAAGTTTTACACTTACATTAATGGTTATCTGCTTGCTTGGATAAGGACAGCTATTCCCATAGACGTTAAGCGAGTACACCTGAGTACACCTGAGTTGCCACACTTTATATGACTACATACATTCGGTAGTTGGCAAAAGGTTATATATATATATATATATATATATATATATATATATGCATTTTTGAGATGAATGGGGATTTTTTTAATTTAGAAGTAGTATTCATCATGGACTGACATCAGTTGGGGAACCATTGAAACCATGTTAGCCGCGAAATGTAAAAGTCCTAGGTTTGCTCCCTACTGAGGAGTATCTAACTAGGTCGAAACAGCTGTCCAGTGCTACCAGATTTTCAATGTTTCTTCAATTGATGTAAGTTCATGATAAATTTGAAGTTGAATCCTTATAAATACCCAAATTGAACTGTTTAACACGTTATACTGCTCACATTGGTAGTATTTATTGATCTAATGGCCTTTAACACTGTTTCAAAATAATATTTCATTTCAAGGTAGACATTTTAGTCATGTTTTATCCTTTGAAGTGGATAGTTAATTTGTGAAGCTTTCGTTTTACGTCTAAGTGACATCATCAGCACGAACATGAATATGAATGAAGTGAACTATGAAGATGCCTACTTGATGGATCTAGTAATTTGTCTTGAAGAAGTGATATGGGGTAGTAGGATTTCAAATATTTAAGAATTCCTAGAACCTGGAAGTCCTGGTTTCGATCACTGGTTGGAGTTATAGGTGTGGACAGCTAATGAGTCATATCCTAGGACGAGACAGCTGTCCTGTATTATTGATAATGCATATTAACCTGAAAAAAAAAACACTTTCAAAGAAGAATCCTCTCATCAGTAAGTTCTAATCAGGTCCCACAATTATGGGTGTGCCCGAAGTAGGATAAACTGCAGTCATCATTGTCCTTTGGGTTCCTAGTGGAACATGGGACTTCACTAGCACATCCCTATCCCACTTTCTTCTCTGCAGTCTTTCTCCTTAACCTGGCTCCACTACCACCCACAAGCTTCTATTTCTTCCTCATATGATCTCCTCCATGTCACTGTCGCCTCGGACACCCAAATCATCGTTTCCCATTTGGGTTACACTCGAGGACGTGGTCTGGTGCGTGATGTCCCTAAACCGACTTCTCAATTTATATCTAATCCAACCCATTTCCACTTTATTCTACTGCATATTTGTAGAGTGATAGAATGTTGGTTGGTTCTTCGCCACGACAGAGTGAGTTCCCTGTTGTTTATTCTTATTATTCTGGCCATCTGATCGATCTTCAGTGTCAGTATCGAGTAAGCGTAGACGGCAGCTGTTGATGTATGTCTGTAGTTTGTTAAAAATGCTCTTCACAAATCGCCAAGCCTCTCAACCACCACATAGAAGCACTGACTTGACTGAAATTAGTGTTAAGAATGCAGATGTGGTTGACGCTTTAAGCTGAGTGGAGTGGAGTGCAGTAGATCTCTACACTGATTTCAGGTTAATGAATAGTTGTGATAGAGAATGAAAAGACAACAGATAAGGAAGACAGGAATACCGTATAGTTTATTGACGGTCAGGTTTGATCAGTTTTCATGTGACAGTCACATCTTTGTTGAGTAGTATTGCTTATGGCACACAATCAGATTACTTACTTCCTTTTTATTGTTCGTTTCGCTTTCTGACCTTGTGATTTATCAGTGGCTTTCTAAACTAAATTTATTATTATTATTATTATTCTCAATAGTAATTTGCTGTAGTGTTCAGTAAGATTGACAATATCTTCCTAAGAAGTTGTATATCCCTGAAGCCTGTTACGACCAATCGTTTTGCTCTCAAGTTTCGAGAGAAAACATATAAATCAACATGTAAATATCAGATTGGTTGAAGGGATAAAAATCAATAAGACATTGAAATCTAGAAAGACCTTGAAACACTCAAGGCCATTGTCAGTTTATATAAACCATTGTATCAGTAAAGAAAAGAGTTGCTCAGTCAACATATAATTGGTGTTGATGTGATGGGAAGTGCTTGTCGAAGTAGTTTAGTCGACTTCATAGCCAATATCAGGGGATCTTCGTCTATTCCAAATCCTGTGCTCAGAAGTTGTTGTATCGTCAGCTCCCTGTCCACTAGGCTGTCAAGCTCCAACGCCATGCGTTCAACCATTCTCTACCAAGTCTCCTTCCCGTTCACGCTTTCCACGCCTACACACGTCACTTTCGCTCTACCCTTCAGCAACGTGCCAATCCCCACGACCTTCACTCATGGATACGGGACATACACCAGCTTCGCAATCGACCTGAAGTCCTTGAGAAAGACCTTGATGTCTCCATCCTCAAACACTTCAGGCCACAGAATCTTCATCATATCAAGAAGCAGCGACACCAATTGTAGAGACGACAAGACTGAGATGCGGGAAGGAATGTTTATTATTCACATCCTGTACAGTAGCCGTCAAATATGGTACACCTTCCACTAAGACTGTCATTTGCATAATATGTTTCATTTCCTCTTCTGCTTCTATCTTAATTTGATCTTAATACGCCTACATTGTCTCTTGCGTTTCTATGAGCAGAATAGTTACCCATTGCTGGTAATTCCCTATGATTTCAGCCGCTCTCTCAATATATACTACTTATGTCTATTCTGATCAGCAGCGCCCATCACAGTGGGATTTGTTCATTTGGAAGTAATAGGAAATCGATCACTGAATAAAGAGGGAAGATTGGTGCGATAAAAAAAGAAGAGAAATATGTAAAGTGAAACGAAATGAAAGTGAATAGTAAAGGCCGAGATAGAGAAAGTGGTTTCACATAGTTTTTTTCAATACAAAGTTGGAAATGTAGACCTTTACAGTAGTTGTTAGGGTAACCTTTAAATTCCACCCCAAGTAAAAAAGATGTAGGCAAGTGCAGAGATGTCTGGATGTTGAAGTGTGTACGAAGCCGTAGTCAAGTGACATGTTGTCATCTGGCCACCTGAAACCCTCTTCCAACCTGATGCAAATTCGTCTAGCATGGCATATCTACGTAAGTGGTAGCTTGCATACACTGTACTTGTACAAACCACCTCAGCTGATAAAGGTTCACAACTTCATCAATCAATTTGTTGACCTTCCTTGCCTAATACCCTTCGCGGTGATTTCACCAAACGTGTGTCCTCTACTTTAAACTGTCATGTCTCAAAGTAGTATAAATGGATAGAACAGACTGTAGCTCAATATACTTATCCTTTAACAGGTAGTCGGTTATCTTGCCAGTGAGAGTCAAAGGAGACAGAAGTTGCCAGATGCTAAACAGACATTCTGTACGCGAGAAGAGATTTCATCAGTGATCATCCGATGTGATTGTCTGTCTGACTGACTGGCTTACTCAAAAAGGTCAAACATAAATGGATGAGAGTAGAGATCAATGGAAAGCCGTTGAATCGCGCGAATGAGTGACCAAGCTATGAAATAATGTTAGCATTCCATTCATAATGTGATGTGAGATTGATGTTTTCCACTTTTCGACTGATAAGGCAGGGTGTTGTAGGAGTGGGGATGGTGGGGATGCATGCGATGATGCTGGTGGTAGTACTTTTGTTGGATTGTTGTTTGACTGATTATAGAGGAGTTGATATTGACTTAGGTTGAGTTGCTTTTGTTTGCGTTGTGTAGTGCTGTGGTTTGGTGTGGTGTGCTGGGTTGTTTTGGAAGTGGCTGAGTCTAACTGAGCTGGGGATAGTGGTTTGCGTGATCTGTACACAGAAGGTCCCCAGTTCGGGCCTGGGCTGAAATAGGCTTTCCACCACACACTAAATATTTCTCACACACAACCTGTTCACACTACACTATCAACAATACCATTCGTCACCATGCCAACGCTGTCACAACCCGAATCCGCCTTCCTGCCTTTCTCTTTATCTGTTCAAACCATCATTCAAATGACACGACACACCATTTTATGCATCAAAATGGGATTCAGCTGAAATCCAACTGACAGCAAACTCAATATTCGTGTATTCCAGCACCAACACAACAGATAATTTCTCAGTCAGCTAGCCATTCAATGTGGCGTTGTTTGGCTGCTTGATTCAAATTCTTTCTGTTTCCACAGTCACCGATGATGCTGCTTCCACTGCAGCTGCTTCCGCTTCGACCGTTACAACCACTGCTACCCATGTTGCTGAATCAGATGCTACTGTCGGTGATTAGGTTGCTTTCATGGAATCTTTGCTAGTTTAGATGTTAGCGACATTCCACTGCAGATTCACATTGTCCACAAAGCCTTCCAAATGACTTGGTTTGCATGTAATTGGCTTAAGCAAATGTTTCTGCTGATTAAGTATTCACGCTCACCTTACACCTGATTCCTTTCTTATATGCTTAACCAATCAGTCTCGTATACTCACACAATTCACCGAAACAATCAGTCGAGTAGAGCAAATCCACACTCCAATCCAACCGTTTACAAGACATGACAAATCACGCTGCTTCTGCTTCTCCTTCTGCTTCTGCTTCCGCTGTTGTTGTTGTTGCTGCTGCTGTTCTTGTTGCTGATGCTGATGCTGATGCTGCTCCTTACTTATTCAACATTTCGCCCGGATCCAATTCATCAGAGCAAACAAGGAAATTAGTTAACTGACTGACAGCCAACTTCACCACATGAAAGAGCGACAGAGAGAGAAAAAGACAAATAGACAGACAGATATCAGGCAGGCTGACTAACAGACAGACAGACATATAGAGAGACAGACAGACAGAGAGACAGAGAGACATATAGAGAGACAGACAGACAGACAGAGAGACATATAGAGAGACAGACAGACAGGCTGACAGTCACACAGATGGACAGTGAGATATGGAGAATAAGACAGGATGTCATGTTGGCATGCAGGCTGGCATTCAGACAGGTATGTTGTCAGCCAGGCAGGCAGGCAGGCAGACAGGGAGATAGTGGGTCCGCTGGGACGACTTACTGACTCGCTGAATAACTGGCATCTCACAATACTCCATAATTCATAAAGGTGGAATAAACAATTGGAAGGAAGCACAGAAATTCACATAATGCACAATAAGGGATGATTTCAGTGAAGATGGAATTATTTCTGAAATATGGGTAACACATAAATGTATGGATGAAGCGTGTGAACGAGCGATCCAGCTATGCAATAATGTTAGCAATTCAGTCATAGTTGTAATGATTTGTAATGTAATGGATAAAATAATACGATGTGTGTTTGACATATGATTCCTTAGCTTAACACTGAAACTTTGACTATTGAAATGTATCTCACCTACACATCAAGTGTTATATATACCCACAAGTTAAATGTATCTTCAATTGAAATATACGTACTTTTCCACTTACAGATTGTTCATCATTGGAGGTAATTTCTTTCTGTACTTCAACTTCTACGGTTAATTTATTCACAAGTGAATTTTCTATCTCACTAATCACTTCTTCTTTCAAAATACCCATTACTTCAGGTGTTAATTGTAAACATGAAATAGTTAGTACAGTATAATGTTGAATAATCCATATTGCAACATCTTGTCTAAGTAATGGAAGAACTTCATTGATACACTTTTCTTCGTAAATTGAACGTGATAACTCACGAAATTCTGTATGACGTTGACATACAACCTGAAGACAAATATATACAATAATAATAATCACTGAAAATATTTTATGATTAAAGTAAACAGTAGTATTGTTATTTCTGATATCTAATGAAAAACTATGGTGCACTGGACAACTGTTTCGTACCCGTTGAAGACTCCTTAGCGATAGCGTTTAAATGACAACCTCTTTAGGGAATGTACAAAAGACATTACCATTAACCGATCTAGTTGAAATTCAATGGTCATAGGTGTCAACTTCTAAGGAATTCCAGTCTTAGAAGAAACTATTGCCAACTGCTTCTAGACTTCCAATCATTCTTCAACTGATATTATCTCGTGGAGAAATTCCTTTCGACTCAACAATTTATGCAGTTTTCTTTATTATTACTATTATTATTATTATGTTCCTAGTGGAACATTATGTTTCAGAAGAACATCTCCATTCCACCCTTTTCTCTGCAATCGTTTCAACCTGGCTCCACCGCTGCCCAGAAACTTTCATTTCTTCCTCACATGATCTCTTCCATCTCACCTTCGGATGCCTAAATCATGGTTACCCATTTGGGTTCCACTCTACGGCCTGACCTGGTGTGTGATGTCCCCGAATGGTCTTCTGAGTGCATGTCTAATTCCACTGTATATTTGTTGAGCGGCAGGTTCCTGGTTGGTTCGTTCCCAAAGTTCCTTGTTGCTTATTCTTTTTGGCCATCTGATCTTCAGTAACGAGCCAGCGTAGGCGGCAGCTGTTTATGAATATCTGTAGTTTGTTGGAAATGCTTTTCGTAACACGCCAAGTCTCTGAACCATATAGAAGTGCTGACTTGACGTTGGTGTTGAAAATCCGGCTGTTGTCCACGCTTTGTGCTAAGTGGAGTGCAGTAAATGCTTACACTGGTTTTTAGGTTAATGGAAGCCTGTCTTGCTTTTCCGATCCTGCTTATGACATCCTCGTTTGTGCTGCTTTGCCTAGGTGGTAGCTGAAAGAGACTACTTCCTTTAAGTTTCTCCTGTGGATGGTGATTGGGACTTCTAGTTGTTGGTGGTGGTGTTCGGTTAAGATCTTTCCTTAACATATGGAAGTCAACTCATCTTTCTTTGATAATAATGACTATATCACACTGTTTTGATGCAATTCAACATTGTATATGACACATATTCAGATAAAAGTGAAATTTTCATAGCGTAATAGAAAGACGGAGGTTATCTGAGAAATGTATGATGTATTCGCCTAATATATTTTCAACCATGTGATCATACATACATTTACTTGTTAATTACACTCCAAAATTAATTGATAAGTACCTCAGTAACACAGGCGTTAAAAGTAGTGACAATACTGTGAAGAGAGTGCTCAAAACCTTTAGAATATTACCATACGAAAACGGCACCTCAGAAACACTGGCTTCGAGAGGTATTCCCGAAGTCGTGACCATTGGGGACAAAGCTTGATGGTTGTAAGAACAGTTCCTCAAAGATGACATTGGCTGGTGGTTGCGCTATATCATGAGCTAGCAGAAATTGGAAATATAGACCATTGGATTTTGACCCAGTGGCTAGCTCAATGGTAACATGCTGGCCATAGAACCTGAAGGTGGTGGGTTCGATCCCTGGTAGGACGTGGTCGTAGGTGCACACTGCTGAGAAGTCCCATACTAGGACAAAACATCTAGCTGTCAAGTGCTCCCAGGTTTCCTTTGTTCCTCCTCTACGATGAATAACAGTTTGAAATATTTCCAAATCCCCATAACTCCCTCAAAATTCAACTGAATTAAGTCTTTGTTTTCACAAGAACCCAGTGATTAGTTTGCACCGTTGAGATTTTTTTTTATAATAACTGAGAAACTTTAAAGGATATACAATTTTTTTCAATGACTGTCTCCATTAAGAAAAAATTAACTTCTTCTCCTAATGTATGTATTGTACAGATCTGTTCGGTTCTTTTGAATAAACATTTTACTAAACCTTGTTTATAATTTACTGGACAGAAATTATGAAATTCAAGTACAGTACAGTCCCATTAACGTATCTTCTGTACAAAGAGACTTTAGTGATATTATCCTCAATTAAAAGTGTTACATATGACATATGTAGACATTAGCCAACAATAGTACGAAAAGAATACCCACAATAACACTATGATTTTCTTTTTGCTTATTAGTGTTATACTACTGAAATTTATCAAATTAAGTAATTGCTACAAAAGTGAAAAAGACAAGGCAGACGATGTTGTTACATGATTCACTCATATAGTCAGAAATATCCATCAATTACGTATTCAAATGTGTTGTGATAAATAGAGAAATTACTAACAGAATATAATTGTAAAACTTGGTCACTGTGATCAATTGTAATTCTGAGGGGGTTGTGGAGATTTGGAATTATTTCAAGTTGTTATTCATCGAAGACTGACATCAGTTGGAGGAACAAAGGAAACCTGGGAGCACTGGACAGCTGTTTCGTCCGACTAGTATGGGACTCCTCAGCAGTGCGCACCCACGACCCCACCAGCAGGGATCGAACCCGCGACCTTCAGGTTCCGCGACCAGCGCGTTACCATTGAGCCACTGGGTCAGAATCCAATGCTCCATATTTCCAACTTCTGTTAGCTCACGATATAGCGCAGACCGCCACCCAATGTCATCGTTGAGTATTTGTCCTCACGGCCATCAGGTCGCGGGTTCGATCCCTGCTGGTGGGGTCGTGGGTGCGCACTGCTGAGGAGTCCCATACTAGTCGGACGAAACAGCTGTCCAGTGCTCCCAGGTTTCCTTTGTTCCTCCAACTGATGTCAGTCTACGATGAATAACAACTTGAAATTGTAATTCTGTTTTAGTCTGTTTTTTTTTTACTAGAAATATCACATACAGTGAAGCAACAGTAGCATTTACTGGATAGCCACGTTTCAGACACAGTCTATTGTCTATATTCATATCAGATTAGGTAACTCTACAACTTCAAGACAGAGTTTATATATTCCCCATTTTTCTCTCCTTCTCTGTGTAATGACAAGGGTAGTAGGATATTCCATATTATCTGGAACAAGTACAGCATCATTTCGATTGCTGCATATATTTGGTGTTGATTCGATAAACAAAGATTCAGTCAGTTATTAATCTCTCCCTCCCTCCATCCAACTAAGTTAGTTTTCAACACTGTAGCCCTATCCCATCCTACTGTGTGATTGTGTGTCATGGCACGAATCAAGATTAATAGATCCTAATACGATAAGAAATCTAAAGAAAAACTGGTTTATAGCTCTGCATGCGATTACAAACAATCACACAGTAGGACGGGATACGGTGATAGTGTTGGGTGGAGGAAGGGAGAGATTGATAACCGAATCTTTGTTTATCGAATCAATACCAAATACATGCAGTAACAGGAATGATTCACCATCTATATCCTAGATATATGGAAGATTCCATTACCCTTATCATCATAGAGAAGGCAAGGTAATTAGAACTATATAAACTCTGTCTCAAAGTTGTGAATTTGGTTACCGGATATGAATATAGAGAATAAGTAGTGTCCGAAACATGGTTATTCAGTAAATGATACTGTTTCTTCACTGTATGACATTCCTAATAAACAACTGTATTGAACAGCAAGACAACAATGACTGAAAAAAATTTCTGTTTATTTTTTTCTGTGTAGAAGACCATACAGTTTCAAGGTCAATACAAAGTATCATTCATTGTCTTATTGGATTATTGATTTTTTCAATGTCTATTCACTGATTATTATGATAATGATTATTTCAGTAATGGAATTTATGAACTTCAGTTTATACAGTGATTATTTTAGCCTTGGAAGAAGTTTATATTTTACTTCATATAGAATAAATAACCCAGGAAAATATCTCTAAATCCATAACATGAAATAAGGAATTTTTATCGTAGACAACATATCAGAAGGTGATATAATCCAGAAGTGCTTGGCTAAGGATAAATTCTCAGTATATGATGAATATTCCCTTGACAAAAAGTAAAATCTGCATAAACAATAAACCCAACTTATTGTATACTCTGTCTACTATCACCCATGATAATCCTAATTGTAGTGGACTGGATCAAGCAACAAGTAACAGTGAGGAACGAGAAGACGGGGACATGCTGGACTGCGGAAAACAACCTAGAAGATTCGGATTTCGCCGATGACTTCTGCGTAATGTCACACAAATTTGAAGATCTACAGTTGAAAACTAACAAGCTGACAATAGAGGCAGTCAAGACGGGACTTCAAGTGAACGTAGAGAAGATAGAGGTGATGAAGATACTCAACCACCACCACCAACAAGCTCCAATCACTATCAACGGGAGAAACTTAAAGGAAGTAACCTACTTCACCTATCCAAACAGCACTGTTTCAACTACAGGTGGCGGCATAGACAAGGACGTCAAAGACAGAATCGGAAAAACAAGACAGGTGTTCATTAACCTGAAACCAGTGTGGAGGGAGATCTTCTGCACTCAGCATAAGGTGCGAACAAGATCCGGATTTTCAACACCATCGTTAAGTTAGTGCTTCTATATGATTCAGAGGCTTGGCGCGTCACGAAAGGCATTTCCAACAAACTACAGACATTCATCAACAACTGCCTATGCTGGCTCGATACTGAAGCTCAGATGACCAGAATAATAGGAATAAGCAACAAGCAACTCATTCTGACAACGAACCAACCAACCAACCGAGAACGTATTGCTCAACAAATATACAGTGGAAGGAAGTGGAGATGGATTGGTCATGCACTGGGAAGACCATTCAGGGACATCACGCGTCAGGCCAGGCCGTCGAGTGGAACCCAGATGGGAAGTGACGAGTTTGGCGTCCCAGCTGAGGGTGACATGGTGGAGATGGTGTGAGGAAGAAATGGGAGGTTGTGGGCTGTCGTGGAGCCAGGTTGAAACGATTGCAGAGAACTGGGTGGAATGGAGACGTGCTACTGAAGCTGTATGTTCCATCAGGAACCCAAGGGAAAAATAATAATGACAATATTGCATACCACTCATTACTGGATTACTTTCAGCTAGATATCCCGAAGTTATAATTAGAAGTTATAAAGTGTAGAATAAACTAGTTTGGAAGTTAAGCGAATACCCACTAAAGATATCGGTGTATACATTTTGAACTAATAGAATTAGTTTATTGTGGAACATTGGACTGTGACTTTGACTCGCCGTAAGACCTGTTGACAGGATAAATGAATGAAAATATTTCAGACACTGAACACAACAAAGACTGAGTAACATGTGTTGCTTGCTCAGGAAGAGTGCAACCAGTTTCTTGTTGTCTAGTCCTGAGTGAAAACCGAATTCTATCGATCACATTTGCAATGTGGCAACCAAGCTAGGAAGCTCAGCATCGCGGTGCACATTATTAGATGTTAGGGTGACACATATTCGAATCTCAGACGTGACATAAGTTCTGTCGAGGTTGCAGGTAAGTCTTGTTGCTGACGAGTACCAACTAGTATGAAATCTAGGTAAAGTGGGGCTTCCTGCTAATTCCTTCCAACCAACTGAGATCTACTAAAGACCGAATTTTAGCCACATCACCAAGATTCTCTAATCATTGATTCTTATCAGACTGGTCTTCAGGGGTGTCACAGCTAATAATAGAGAGTGTAGTGACTGAGTGTATTGACCACTCCACTTACCTGGGAAGTAGGATCGGCCCTGGTGCCTTGGTCAGTGGCCGATGAAATCTCTATACAAATACAAAAGGCTTGGCTGACTTTCGCCAACTTACGCCACTTATGGCGCCGCTGTGATATCCGATTGTGTATTAAGGGTCACGTGTACTGCATAGCAGTCTGGTCTGTTCCACTGTATGTCTGTGAAACATGGTCACTGAAGGTGAAAGGAAGACATGCGAAGGCTTTACGTGTTTGGTCACCGTTGCCTTCGTAGTATAGGCCATATTCTGTGGTGTCACCACACCATGTGAGTAATGTAGAAGTCAGATATGGAGTTTTAGGGAGAAGAGGTAAATCAGTAGAGTGCGGTTATGAACCTTGGTCGACTGAGATGGTTGACTCTGACACGTGTTACGTATGCCTAGTCACTGATTGCCTCGTCACACAATGTTGGCTGAAGTATGTTCAGGCTGGAAAAAGACCTGAGGTGGTCAGACTAAAACATGGCACCAGTGTATGAAGTCTTCGACTGCTGGTTTAAGCCATGTGGGGCGATGCAGACTAGGTGGCTGGTGTCTGTGGGACTCTAGGTGATATGGCTCAGAACCGAAGTCAGTGGCTCAGATGTATGCATACATTATCCTCATCTTAACCACGCTATACCGAATCTCACCATTTTCTCCTTCCTCCTTTCTATCTTACAGTAGTTTATATTCCTTTGGACTGTATTCTCTTATCTTCATCTTTAGCCTCACTACCTTTTTAATGATGTAGTGATATGAGGTGTGGCAAGTTGGACTGTTACACAGTAATCCCTGGTCTTATGTTGATATAGACGATGATATCAGATTATTCACCCATTGAGCACTCCATAGTTAACTTCAGTTGGAAACCCCATATCTTTACTTAAACGAAAACTCATTTAATAAGTTTATCTTCAAGTATGGAGTGAGTAGTAATGAATATGAATATGCATATGAATATACAAGAATATTGTCTTCATTATTTACAGTATACAAAACTCAAAATCAACTGAATATTTATATGATAAATTACCTCACGTAGTAAACCATCAAGTAATAAACGTGCACTTCGTTCATGCTCCATTGAATCTAATACAGCATTAACTAGAGAATCAAAGAAATGAGTTTCAATATCTAGAAATGAAGTGAAAAACGGAAACGAAAGAAATATTTTGTCAATTAGTTTTATTATGTACAAGACTAATCATTCTTTTAGCTCATCTGACACAACATCAAGCTCATAGCATGCACATCCTTTATTCGAATCCAAACATGACGTGAAGTTTCACTATATCTTTAACTATAGCGCAGCATAAATGGTGTCGAAAACCAAGATAATCTCAGATATTAAAGACGATTCATCATTTTAGCAAAGTTTAT